CTCGTCAGCTAATTTTTTTTAAAATGATATATAATTTTATAATGTTTCTAAAAATTTGAATGCCACAAAGCCGTATATATTCCAAAATGAGATCTTTATCATTCGTTCGTGCATGAATATCACAAGCAGTATTTTTCCGTCTGCTGAGAGGGAGTGGCAGTACCCAAGATGGCGGAAGAGACGAAGGTCCATCAGCCGCCCAACAGTGCAGAAAGACCATCGCCCATCTCGTTGAGTTTTTTTTAACCCCGACTCAGTTTCCCTAATCTCACGTATCTACCGAAATATTTTAATATTAAATTAAAACGGGAAAACTCGTGCCGCAGCAGCTGAAAGCCATCTGGCAATCGTCGGTATCCACCCGAAACGATGCTTTCAAGACGATGTGCAATAATTCCGTCATTTTCACGCTGCAAAGCACAACGAGCCTCACATATTTGCAATGGACATTGCACTCCTCGCCTTCTTGCTTTTATAATGTAACAGTTCTCTGGCACCTAAATTTGTAATTAATCGTCGTGTCCTCTTCAAATCTATCATCTTCCTAAACACCCTTCTGAAATTTTAAAAATCTTATTCATTGTTATTATGAACAAGATTTAAAAAAAGGGAAACTTCTTGAGATTGACATTTAACAAAGGGTGGTTAAAAAATATATAGGATGGTTAAAAAAAACGCTCTACCATTTTCTATGGGAGAAACACAGTTTCATAAATTCAGCGAAAAAAATTCCATTGGATAGGCTATCGATATTTGACTTCCCAGGTGTTGAAATGCTTGCCAGCTTTTTTTCAACACTTGCCTAAATTTTGCAATTTCAATTTAGAGGTGAATTATAGGTGCTTAGAGGTGGAGCATTCCACCTCAAGTGAGGTGACGACCTGTGCTCGATCGTCTCAGAATTCAGTGTAATTTTTCAACTTTAACTTTCCAAAGGACAATTAGATCCAATTGATGCTTGACAGAAAAGTTCACGAGACTAAGTGGTTTTTTCCTCTCCACAAGATGGCGCTGTATCCCGAGAGAGGGCGCTGTTGTTGACCCGGTGACCGAAAATGATTACTAAAAGCTCCGCTGTTCTCGAAGGGGAGAACGAATGATTCGTGCTCATATGCCCTATGCACAGTTCAAGAAATTGTTCTGAAAAAAGCTCAGACAATCTTCTCAACACGTCCGATATCAAAATATTATCAATCATATTTTTTCCTCGAATGCACAAATCATACTTTCTCCCTTCTAAAACGGTGGAGCGTTTCTTGTAATCACCCTCGGTCACTGTGTCAACAACAGCGCCCTCTCTCGGGATACAGCGCCATCTTGTGGAAAGGAAAAAACCACTTAGTCTCGTGAACTTTTCTGTCAAGTATCAATTGGAAGTCAAATATCGATAGCCTATCCAATTGAATTTTTTTCGCTGAATTTATGAAACTGTGTTTCTCCCATAGAAAACGGTAGAGCGTTTTTTTTTTAGCCACCCTATATACTGTATATATTATATTTATATGTATTTATATGTATATTTATGAGAACTCAAGTTATCCTCGCACTCGCAAGAAACGGTAGCTGAATTTATCAGGATTCTAGGCTTCATCCGACATTCCTTGGGCAATAAGAGCTCGCGCATTATTCTTCCGTTACATGCGGCGCTGGTAAGACCCCGTTTAGAGTATTGCGTTCAATTTTGGAGAACTAAAAATAAATGTGACCTAGCGGCGCTCGAGAATGTCCAGAGGTGGACTACGAGAATGATCCAGGAGGTAAGAGAACTTCCATATGAGAAGTGTTTAGAAGTGCTGGAACTGTACTCGCTTGAGAGTTTAACGAGGCTTGACCTCATCCAGGCATTAAGGCCCGTATTCACGTCGCTCCCCTAACCGTTAAGGGACCCCTAACTCAAGAAAGTTAGGGATCCCCTAGATGTTCCATATTCACGTTCCTCCCCTAGCTAGGGGATCCTTAAACCCAACTCTAGTAGTAGAAGATAGGGGAGCTTCCAGTTTTCCCTCTAGGAGTTTGCGTTTTAAATGCACTCTATCTCTGGCAGCACCTCATTCATAGATTTTTCTCATGGCATTTCGTCACTTTTGAGAGTATCTAAGGATGGAAATCTCCCCTAAATATCCATTTGTCCTTTTATTCACGTTGTCTACTTGAAAGATGATGTCGTCGAGTGAAACTCGCTGCTGCTACATAGAAGTCACGGAAAAAATTATATCTCCTACTCCAAATTTGAGAAAAAATCTCCGCTCTGACTATAGCTATTACCAAGAAAATTGCACTGAGCCTAGGCCGATAAGTTTTCAAGAGCTTTGTGGGATTTCATTGAAATGCTTCGTGGCGAGTCAAGGCTATTAGTCATATTTCAAAGAAGTTGGAAATCATTGCAGTGAACTGGAGCGCTTGCTGGCAGTTTAGCAGAGGAGACGCCTTCGTTCTGCTGTTTGCATGCCATGCAGGTCATACCAAACATTTAGTGCAATAAAATTCAATCTTTGGCTTGCCTCTCGCTGGATACAGTTTTGATAACGTTCTTTTAAAATAATAGCAGATCAACAGCTGTTAATACAGAGTTTGAATTAAGGCCCATATTTACGTCACTCTCCCAGGAACAGTATATCGTAACAGTTAGGGGACCCCTAGGTAAGGATTTCCCAAAAAATGGTATTCACGCTGGTCTGTTAGGGGGCCCTTAGCTAGGGAATCCTTTAGGAAGATGGAGGAGAGGGCGCATGTGCTGGAATGCTTTCATCTTGGTGGCCTCCTCGTCACACACAGAAATCAAGGGATCTCTGTCCATAAATTGATTGTTGCTTTTTTTCCTCTTGAGTCTGACATTTTTTGATGACTATGATACCCAGTTATAGTACTTCCCATGAAATAGTGCCAAGGTCAAATGAAAATGTGTCCTACTCGTATGAAAAAAATTGTAGTTGATCTGAACTCTCATTGTTTCGTCTAAAAGATTCATTGCAATGATTTTCTTCCCATTAGCTTGAATACCGGCCTAGGCCCAAGTGGGTACTCAACAGTAATGCAAAACAAGCTATTTATCTTCAATTTTAAAATTACAGTTGTACTTTTACATCAATGCTGCATCGATGATCATTAATGGAACATGCATGACAGGAGTGTCAATCAAATGATAAAATACTACAAGAGCATGATCTATATCAGCGGTATTCAAGAAGCGGCCCACTAATATGAAGTAATAATTGACCTTTTCACATTTTGCCATTTTTTCGGATCTCATGAATAATCGCGATGAACAACTTTTTAAATCCCAGATTTGGAATCCTTTGCTGCAAACTGGCAAGTTTAGTCATTGTTTACATATTGAAATACCTATAATATATGTTTACAATTAGATGCTTATGTATTTAGGTGTGCACCTGCTGAACTTACCTGAAATTCGGAGCATCCATGTACTGCAGAGGAAAGTGTCTTACCTCGCAAGTAAATGGTGAAGTTTGTGAGAAAAAAGGAGTATTTATCGAAAATGCAACTTGTGACAGAGAACCGATGCGTTTACACGAGCCCTGAGTAGTGGCAGTTTTTGTGACTAAAAGAGTTGAAAGTGTGTGTGGATGCGACAGGAATAGGAAGGTTTTTTTTTTCTCCCCATTTTTTAAATGGGACTTCCCAATTTAAGTAGCTTGATCAAGAGGTCGATGGGCAGATAAAGGGTTACCCATGCAGAAATGGTGGATCTTTTTTTAATGCGGCCCACTCAAGGTGGAGTAAAGTGTCCGTGAGGCCCTCGCCTAAAAAGTTTGAGGAACGCTGATCTATATGAACAGGTAAAAGAATTCGCTGAATCCAATATCAATATCCAAATGCAAAGACATGAACCTGACGAGGGAATGCTGTTCTCCGGAAGACTGCAACGAATTCGCAGGAACCTGCTAAGAGCGGCTGAAGGCTCCCCTAACTTCTTTACAACTTCCTATATCTCTTAGGGACGCATTTAGGGATTCCCTAGCTAAGGGAAGAACGTGAATACGGTACCTCTAGAGGACCCTTATTTTCGAGCCTTTTCAGTCATCATCTTTTAGGGAACCCTTAGCTAGGGGTCCCCCAACTCTTAAGGGATCCCTTAGCTAAGGGAGAGACGGGAATACGGCCCTTAACCTTTTGCGCAGGACAGACGACTAGCAAACACGTCCTGACCTAGGCAGCTCAGCAGTAGTATGGACGCGTATACACGTTTTCGAGACGTTACCGAAATGTGCTGTTACCCCAACTATGTACTGTAAAAGTGTGAAATTCATGTCCAAACATCGTATCTGCGAATTTATGCGAATTCTTTTCCAACATTTGCAAAACTCACTCCTGCTGGTCCACCCAGGTCAGAAAGAAATCACTACTCGAAAGGTCAAGACCGTTAGGGAATCGATAACGTAGAGCGTGTTAGGTTTTTCTTGTTAGATGGCAGCAAAAGAAATAGAGGGAACCAACTTAAGTTGCGCTTACCCCAGGTGAGGCTCAGGTTGCGACATTACTTCTTTAATTATAGGGTAGTGAAAGCGTGGAAAGCGTTAAGTGATGCTGTAGTGGTTGCCATTCTGCGACTTGCTTTGAGGCCAGCTGCCTTCACGAACTAAAAAAAGGGGGCAATGTAAAAGTGACTAAAAGCATTAGGTGGATATGCTTCCAAAAAATATATATCTTTGAGGGGTAGGCCTACCTTATGATACATGAACGTTCGACCTTGACACAGGATGTCCTAATGAGTAGAAACGCCTAATGACGTCCCTACTACCCGAACCTCGAATACCTTGAAACCTTCGAATCATCCAGTTCACTTAAGCTGTACAATGCACAGTTTTATCTGAGTCCAGTGAGTATTCCAAAGCAGGAATTTTTCATTTAATTTATTTTATTATTATGCATTTTTTAATTAACGGGAAACTTTTCGGCCTGTTAGTGAATGCATCTGTATTAGTTTGTGGATTGAACCTCAATAATATACTCAGCGGTGGGCATCACTGGCCGGGCTTAGAAGTCCATCACCGGGATGCATGCGTCCTCGTCCCATCGCGAGCTTCACTTGGCCTGTACATTCTTATCCAGAATTGCATCATAGCTTTTTCCAATTGATCGGCTTGATTCATACTGTTTTACAGATTTGAATAGCCTCGGTCTAGTCATTCATGGCTTCGCAGTTTTTCACTCGTCTGGGTCAGCTGGGCCTTGGCATTGCTGTAGTTGGAGGAGTTGTGAATTCTGCACTCTATAATGTTGATGGTGGCCATAGGGCGATCATCTTCGATCGATTTCAAGGTAAGAGTTAATTTCGTTTTTATTTATTTAGAAACATGTCATGTTCATTTTAAAGCTGACCGGAGTGTCCACAAATGCAGCGACGGAGTTTTTGTCATAATGCTGACCTTCCTTTCGTAAACTTCTTAATGGAATCATACTGTAATTTTCTGTTTAAATTGTGCTTCCTTTAACATGTTCATCAGCTATGATGCACCAGTGCCTCTTGAGGAAATTTATGTTCTCAATTACAAAGCACTAAATGTGGACATCCTTACAAGACACTATTGTCTCATGACGCCTTGAACATACACATCATTATGAGACACATAAAAAATCACTATATCCGCATCTGCTCAGGATAAAACATGCCCTGCAGAAAAGGTCTGTCAGTTTTCTTCATGTCATAATTACCTTGAAAATACCTTGTTCTGAAATCTGGTGGGTTGCAAAATTTTTTGTGTCAGCAAGTGGGTTGCAATTCAAAGAAGTCTGGGAGCCACTGGTCTAAGGTACTGACCAAAGTCAACAAGTGAATGTTGATTCTCTTGTGCTTTATGTTGCTGTAAGGTAGCCCAATTGTGCTAAATTTAATGAAAGCTTATATACTTGCATTCTAAATCTTTGAATATTTTCAAATGAATCCAAATTGATTCTTTTCAGTCAATTCCAAAAGTCATCTTTTTCATTTGCAATTTACATCACAATTTGCCATCCCTAGAGATGAGAGTATTTAATGGTAAGTAGTCATTGCTGTGCTAACAAAATTGGATGTGTGATTTTTCATATATACTTACAAGAGAACTCTCTCTTCTCTTGTGGAATGAGGAAGATAACCATTTTGCAAAATGAATCTTCTACCTTGAAAATTTGGAATATGGGATATACAAAGTTTCATCCAAAAGTTTTAGGACATGACCTACCATTTTTTGTGGGCTGGGGTCACCTTCAAAGCAGTCCCTGTGGGAGTCCACACCTCTGCCAGCAGTCCTGCAGCTTCTGGAAGCACCTCATAAAGTCCTCTATTGGAATGGCTAGAAGTTCATGTGTCACATTTGTTTGGATAGTCTGGATGTCCTAAACCTTCAGCCTTTCAGATGCATTTTCATCATCACACAGCTTGAACACCTACCTTATTCACCAGATCTGGCATTGTGTGATTTTTTTCTGTCCCCTAAACTGAAAATGCATCTGAATGGCCAAAGACTTAAGGACCCTTAAAACTATCCAAACAAATGCAACATGTGGACTTGTAGCCTTTCTGATAGAAAACTTTGAGATGCTTCCAGAAGCTGCAGGACTACTGGCAGAGGTGTGTGGACTCCCAAGGGGACTACTTTGAAGGTGACTCCCAGCAAATAACTCCCAAAACCCCAGCCCACAAAAATGGTAAGTCATGTCCTAAAACTTCATATATGTTACATGAAAATATAAGGTCCTATCTGGAGTCTGATTGTTTCTACCTGCTTCAAAGGTTCTAATCTTGAAATTAATGCTACTTTTAGCATTGAATCAGTGGAAACTTCCTCAGGACAGCCAAAGTCATTACAAGATCTTGCTCACAGACTATGGGATATTTCTTATATTGTTTTTTGTCTGATATGGACTCTGGTGAAAATAAAGTACCATTGAAAGGTGAAGGCTGAAGTTACTAATGCAAAGTTTTTTTTTTCTGCCAGGTATCAAGCCCAATGTGGTTGGAGAAGGAACACATTTCTTCATTCCTTGGGTACAGAAACCAATTATTTTTGATGTCCGCAGCAGACCAAGGAATGTTCCTGTCATTACAGGAAGCAAAGACCTCCAGAATGTAAACATTACACTGAGGATCCTCTTTCGACCAATTCCTGATTCCCTCCCAAATATTTTCACTACCTTGGGAGTAGACTATGAGGAGAGAGTATTGCCCTCCATCACCAATGAAATTTTGAAGGCCATTGTGGCTCAATTTGATGCAAGTGAGCTCATCACACAGAGAGAGCTGGTGTCACAAAAAGTAAGAGACCTACCGCTTATAGATAAGTTCATCTCTTGAATGATAGAACTGGATGTAGATGGCTATAGAATTAAATTTATTGACTTAGAAATTCTGCATTTTTGAGGAAAATAAGCTTTGTTAATTTTTTAAGAGTTATGATATCTTGGGACATAAGACATCAAATGGTCTTTCAGCACATTGTAGGTGGTAGCTCATATCTTTACAAAATGTTGATAAATGAAAGTTTAGGGGCTGGCCTCAAGTCCAAGGGAGTGCTGGAGGAAAGAAAAAGAAATCCTGGATTTTTTGTAAGAAAAGGATGAATCTTCTATGCAAAGTTATGCTTACCCATTTTGTGCTGCTGTTTTTTTCATTGTTCACTATACTTAGGTGAGACATGGATAATGTAAGTTGTAAATTTAAAAGAAAAGTTCAAATTGTGAATGACATGGCATTGTATGCATGCTAGCCTAGGATACATTTTCACAACCTTCAGAAATTCTTTAGTTATTGACCTAGCAATTATGCAATTGTCCTGACAATGGATGACCATTGCTGATATGCATACTAACAGGCTTTGGTTGCTGTTTGAGTGCAATCAGTTTTATTTCCCTCTCATGGCCTAATACCATGAATCATTTGAACTCTCAGCTGTCTAAAAGATAAAAGTTAGAAAATACCTTGGGAAAGGTTGCTTACAAGAAGAATGAACAAAGTTCTGGCAAAAAGGATGTTTATAAGTATAGTCATGCTCAAAAGACTTGGTTATCATGGCAAGACTTTTTTCCTGAAAGGTCAAGAGATCAAGCAAGGAAATACAGGAGCTTCCAAAGATCTCTAGAAGCAATCTTTGCCATGGAACATAAACAAACTGGTTAAAGCTTAACCCTGAGTCATAGATTTGTTTTGAAACACATAACACCTTTGAGCATCTTTTGTGCAGTGTGGATGGTGCTGCCACCCCTTGAGTGCATCACTGATGCTGTTGAGCAGCTGGTGCTGGCGCTGGTGAGATGCACTGCGTGGCAAATGCCGAAAACTATGATGTGTTTCAAAATACATCTATGAAGCATAGGGTTAAGAAGACTGGGATTTTTTAAAAAAGGGACTTGATTTTGGTTCAGCCATTGATTATATGCCTATAGAGGATGCCAATTCAATTTCTCATTATGATACTGTTAGATGAATGAGAGTTCACTAAAGTATCTGGTTTCCTTGACAACACACTAAACATGGTGTGGTAGAGCTGAATACCCTATAAGAAGATATTCTGTAGGATATCAGTATAGAAAGGATCAAGGAGGCTTTTTTTTTTTTAAGATTAGAAAGGACTACCAAGCAATGAAGATTCACTGCACACTAAAGGGTGAGAAATGAAGATGAGGTATATGAGAGTAAACTGAAAATCTTTGAACAAGAAAGGCTACCTTAAAGATACTTTGTCAGTGCAAGAGAATAACAATAGTGATGGCTCTAAATAGATGTGTCTTAGGGTGGATAAGACTTCATGGGGGAAAAAGAGCTGATGCCCTCAGGAGAGAAGAAAATTGTATCAGATGCTTAAAAAACTCTATTGCAGCGCATGTCAAGATTGTAATGTGCAAAAAGTATAGAATTGATGACTAACCTTAAAATGAGCTCAGAAAGAGGCAAGCTCTGGTTATTTTAAAGGTTTCTTTCATTCTCTTAAAAAATAGACTACAACCCGGCAACCTGTGGTCATAAAGTTTTCATCACAGTAAAGAATATAAATTTTTTAAATTAACAATCTTTTAGAAGTAGGTTCCCAAACCTGTCCATAAATGGATCTTAACTTGGCTGAGTCATGAATTTAGTCTCAATGCCAGTAATAATGAGTTGTCAAAGAACTGAAACTGTAGATTTATTCAGATGATGCAATGGTTTGCACAATATTCTTGTTTTGTTCCATTAGGTATGTGTCAAATTTGCCAGATTTGAAATGGTATTTTGAGCAGATTTAAGCTCTATTAACACTTAAGCAGTGTGATTATTAGCTTCATACTTTTCAAATTAAATTAGCAGCCTTGTAAGTGTTGTTTGAATGATCAAGTGGCAAGAATCTTTACTAATGTTTAGGTGAGTGAGGACTTAACAGAGCGAGCATCTCAGTTTGGCCTGCTGCTGGATGACATTTCCATTACCCATTTGACATTCGGGAAAGAATTCACCATGGCAGTGGAGATGAAGCAGGTTGCCCAGCAGGAAGCTGAGCGAGCAAGATATTTGGTTGAAAAAGCTGAACAGATGAAGAAGGCTGCTGTCATATCAGCAGAGGGAGATTCAGCAGTATGTAAAACTGACCATTATGCTTGAAAAACTCCAGTTTGTTCTGGGTACTACTCCATCCAACTTTGCATGTTTCAGGCAGCAACATTGCTGGCTAAGTCATTTGGAGATGCTGGTGAGGGTCTAGTGGAACTGAGGAGAATTGAAGCTGCTGAAGACATTGCCTACCAACTCTCTAAGTCCAGGAACATCATCTATCTTCCACAAGGACAGAGTACTCTTCTTAATCTGCCTAATAATTGATGTCATTCTGACTGGTGCTTGGCTCCTAAGTAGTGTGAGGCTGTATGCCAACAAAATAAATATTACCCATTGGATTTCCTAATATTTCAAGTTTCATGAAAAACTTTATTCCACCAAAAACATCATTTACATGAAGCAATTAAGTTATGTTACCAATGCTGACATTTACCTGTCACCAGAGGGACCACCACCACTTGGGAAAGCCAGTGAAAGCAACTCCTTTGCATACTGCTCCTCTTCCTGAAGATATGCAACAAATCAACCACTTCACAGGGAAACTTATGAACAAGAATGGTCAAAAGGAAGCCCTGAAAGCAGCCATTTACCTACCTGGAATTCTTCCTTTCCATGAATCTCATGAATGCGCTGGAGGAGCACTTCTTTGAGTTGTAAAGGAGGTTTTTGGCATTCAGTGATGCCTTGTCTATGATCCCTAATGAGTTCCAGAAGTGCATACATCAGATGTTCATGAGTGTGGTCATGTTCCCCTTGAATGAGGTATACTAGCTGTTCCACAAAACCCATGGTAATGAGTGTATCTAAGGCCAGATAAAGCAGTCAACATGAATGGTAGATACTTAAAAAATAAAAGATGAAGCAAAGAAACTTTCTTCACCATACCTTTGATGCTGGGATTTTGCCTGCAAAGGGCTGAGAGAAGAAATGAAGACTTAGTGGCAAGTCTTGGTTGTGGTGATTGGATGGCACGCAAGAGCACTGAGAAACCATCCAATGATATGAATTGCTCTTGAGCTGTTGGTTGGTCTCTAATTGAACCTTGGATGATAAAAAAAATTATCTTCTTCATTTTGGGCATAAAAGTAGTGATGTACAAGGCCTTCTTCACATTAAAAAAAATAATGGTTACCTTCCTTCCAGAAGAGGGGAGGGGAGTTCTCTTTTAAGTTGGGTAAACACCCCAGTTTCTGGCCAGTCTCCAGTTGTTGGCCAGTTAAATCCAGCATAATTAGTTAATCTGGCCATTTTCAAGCATTCTATCAACATCTTCCCATACAAGGACTTATTACTAGTGTTGTGCAAACCGGTGTGCAAACAGGGTATCCACTTCCTATGGGAGTTGTATCAGCGGGGCCAAAAACTGGGGTGTTTACCCTATATAAGGGAACCACATACAAATATGTATACACATCCTTAGCAACACTAAGTCAAACACATATACACATTCAATTTTGCTAGCACAGCAAAGACTACTTTCCAATAACTATTCTCAGCTCTAGGGATGGCAAATTGTGACAAATTGCAAATGAAAAAGATGATATATTGTATTAGACTGAAAAGATTAAAAATATGCCTAGTTGTTGCAATGTGCATGCTGCCCAAATGTTTTTCAGAACAAAGTCAGTGTGAATTCTATGATAAATCAATCTGAAATTCTAGAGCAAAAGTTTGAATCAGAATTCAAAATGGGAAGATAGAAACTTGATTTGTACCAGTGAAAAGAATTGAGATTTGGCAATATCAACCAAATTCCTTTTGAAATGTACAGCATATTTTGTCTTCAGATTTGATTTGAGATTTGCACATCACTGCTCAGCTGACATGTTCACTTTGAGAAAGATGCAATGAAGATAAGGAATAAAAATTACTTTTAATGTTTTTACATTTAATACAGCAACTTACACTATTATTAGATGTGATACACACTAACTACTCAAGTGTACTGGTTACTTTCATGCAACCCAACATCAACTGCTAGATATTACTGTATTTACTCACATATGGCTTGCAACTTTCCCCCCAATTTTTACTTTTTAACTAAGATTCACTCAAAGTTAAAAAAATATGTACTATCCCTGTCACAGTAAACAAAAACCTCCTTTCTTTCCCCCTCCTTAAAAAAAAGAGGTTTTTCCTTACCTGAGACAGGGATAGTATGGCTGACATGATGATACTGTATTTTTGCATGTTCCCTGCTAAAATTGATACAGTACTTCACAAATGTGTGCAGAGTGCAACCCAACTGGATCAGTGCCCACAGGCTTGATCTTCCAACATAAAGGGGCTTTCTTGTAGGCTGGAGTTTCCTGGGAGAGCACCCTACCCTTTTGTTTCTGAGTTTCAATTAGTGTATCAATATGCTCTTTTGGCTATCAATAATGGCTGAATGAGTGAGAACATCAACATCACTTATCTTAATACAATAGAGGTTGAAGAAACAACCAAACCTCCATTTGACACCCATTATCTGGATTAAAGTTTTTTATAGGATCTAGGACTAATGTATGGATTTCTTGCTTCCCTTCTTAAACTTGCATATATTCAGATGAAACATCCCCTAATGCATAATCAAATGTGATTAGGTCATAACTACACAGATACACTGATGGACAAACTGTCCACATTTTCAGCAACAATGGCTTTGGGACCAATTATCTCAGTATAGGATGATCGAATTACTCTGATCGACTATCATTTTGTAGCCAAACTCTTCCTCTATAAGTGTATAAAGTTTCATTAGTATCTATCCAGTGGTGATGGAGAAATCTCAAACAACTGCATTCAGACAGTTTTGTTCTTGGTGTCTGAGACACGTCTCGCACATGCGCAGCGCTACCACATAGAACACAACTAATTAGTCAGATAATTACGAATTTGCATAGACTAAGTTTGGGCAGATGCGATCTTGTGTTAGTCAGGTGCTCAGATAAGCACTGGCCAAGAGCTTAAAAGAAGTTCTCTGCTAGTGCTATCTTCATTCTTCTTTGGTGACATTCTTGAGTTATCATCATGCATCCCCTTTCTGACAACACCCAGAAAAATGTCCTCTCACTTCTCCATGAGGGCTATAGCCTCAGGGAGATTGTCAAGCAACACGTCAGCAGATCGTCTGTCCACAAGATCCAGAAGCAGCATTTTCTTGACCACAAATGGTCTAAAGGTGGTCCTTCCCAGAAGCTGTCATCTCAAGACAAGCAGTTCTGCATCTGTGCAGGGGGAACATCAGCAAGCTTGACATGTCAAGCATGGAGGTGGCTTGATCATGATCTCGGGCTGCATGACTATCAAGTAAAGTGCTTGCTTAAGGTAGTAATACCTCTTAAAAACCAATATGGTGAGTTCCAGTGGTGTAAATCAACTCTGTATATCAGGTTGGAGGCCTCGAAAAAATATTTTGATTTCATGCATAATTTGTATAAATTATGCTAATTAGGTGTCAATGTGGCTGCCTTTAGTGAAAAAAGTAGCGACATTTCAAACACGATATATTATAAATCCTTGAATATAAATGGATGAAATTCACACACTTAATAAAAGACATAATAAAGCTTGGAATGATGGAGCAATTTTATGAAATTCCTTCAGAAGAAAAATATTCGACCAACTGAAAATTTTTTCTTCATTTTGACTTGCTTCTTCTGTATTAATATGCTAATTATTCAAATCGCATGCACAATATCAGAAAATGCTTACATCATTCTATGACCACCAATGCAAGGAAATTTAGTGCAAAATAGCATACTGATATCTCTACTAGGTCCTGAGATATCATGCTCAAGAGCCTGTACTTATGGTGAAAATGGATTTTCAGGAAATCAATAAGAGAGGTGAACTAGCACCCTGTGAGCCATCTGCAAAGGTCATTGAAAACTACAGAACCTACTGGCTCTGTGGAATCCAGAGTGAACTATAGACTTCTACAAAAGTTATGGCATTGAAAGTTTCATTTTTCATCTTTTCTAACATATGGATCCAAGGATCAAAGTCAGTACTAATGACTAAAAGGAGATGTAAGGAGATAATAAGACAATACTACATTAATTAGTTAAAATTACTCCTAATTAATAAGGTTTTTTTCCAATGGGAAAGCAGTCTTCAGTGTCTGAAGTTTAGTTTGAGCTAATTTTTGCAAAAACAATTTCTTTTTCTAAAAAAATTTTTAAATGGGGTATTGCTCCCTTAAGGCTGTATTAAAAGCCAAAAGGATATGGACAGAGTATTGAATTTGTTGAATAAGTGAATGAAGTTGACGTTTTGACACTGGGGGCAAAATTGTCCAAATGCAGTGGTTTGCTTTCAGTTAAGATTTCTCTGTAACTAGAGAGTGGATCCAAATGAAACTTTACACACCTATGGAGGAAGAGTTTGGCAACAAAATGATATATACAAATCATTTTGAAGCCCAACTAAGAGACATCGCCCAGACTAATTAAATCACCCTACATCGAGATAATTGTTCCCAAAGCGGAAGTTGTTGATGTGCGAGAGAAGCTTAAACACAAGTCTGCAACTTTTGAAGTACCTAAGACTGTTTCACCATTCCAGTGCTAATACCTTGAAGTTGTATAGAGAAGGCAGTAGTAGCTGTATCAGCATCAATCCCAGTTTAAGGCCCTACACATCATTCTAAATGTTACTTCTGATTGACTCAGCAAGTTTCACAACTCAGCAGTAGGATGTTGAATTTTAGGGCTAAGAAAATAATGAGTCTAAGCTATTTGGCCAAGTGAGATTCTGGGGAGCTTTACCTGCCTGAGTCTAAAGCAAGAAAGTATTGTATACAAGACCTTAAAAGAGGATCTAGGCCAGGGCTTCCCAACCTTTTTTCACTCATGACCCAAAAAATCACGATGATACCATTCAGGACCCCAAGCGCTGGCTGAAGTGTGACAGGCTCTCCCACCTCTGCACTAAATCGCAAAGAAATACATAACTAGCATTTACTTGCCAGTTCATGACACTAAATATGATCGTCGTGACCCCAAATGGGGTCACGACTCATGGATTGGGAAACCCTGATCTAGAGCTTATGTGAAAGAGAAAACCAGAAAACATAAAATATTATAAAAACTCCACACCATTTTAAATTTGCCGGAGCTAGCGATCCTAAGACACCACAATACTAAGTTAGAAGCTTATGCACCACAGAAACCTCCACCTCTCAGACTCCCACAAATTTTTAACCTTGCTCCATGTATTCATACCATGTTTAGCAAATTCTATAAGTAATTAGGCAAAATTCCTGAATGTAAATGCATTCAACAACTGAAAACAATTTTAGCACTTAAAAACTGCCTGTCACCATCATACCATATTATACTTACTTGAAATGGCAAAAAGAGCCTTGAGCCTAGCCTCTTCATGTGGATCACTGTCAACCATACCCATCAGGGATGGCAAGAGGTGAGTTTCCATGAGAGCAGACTGACAATACGGGTGATTCTGTGCTAGTTCTCCTATCAATTCTGCTGCTCTTGTGCGAACACCAGCATGAGGTGACATCAAGCATGGATGGAGCACCACAAAACCACCCATTTTGTGGAAATCTATGGAATGCAAAACATGGATAAAGTCTGCATCAAAAACTATGTGATGGCCATAATAGAATGTGCTATAGGCTACCTCTGGCATAATCCAGATTATCCACATGACTAAGCAGGACATCCAATGCATTCTCCCATACAGTTGGATCTTCTTCTGCCCTGGATATGGCATCTGATGATAGCATCTCAATGGCCTTTTTCATTTCCTCAGGAATGTTGCTTGTGACACTGTCCAGGACTTCTGCCAACCATGCTCTTCTCTGTAACACATCACACTCCAAAATGAAGGGTATTTTACATCTCCAACTTGAAATATCCAGCCTAGACTAACTTCAGGATCCATTGCTTGAGATGAAGGAGGACCAGGAGCATCTTCATGAGCAGTTTGTTGCACAGCCAATCTCAGGAGTCCCTGAAGGTTAGGGGATACACGGGGGTCTAAGACTTGTCCTTCAGCTGCATCACCAGCACCATGTACACCCTCTTCATCAGCCTGATGACTCTGGCAGCTGTTTGATTTATCCTTCACCATGATTCTGATTGGGAGGTCTTTGCTTTTCTTTTGACTACACTTTCAGGAGCACAGTTACTGTCCACTACCAGATACTATGGCACCTGGAGAGAAATATGCATAAGGTACATTCAAAAAGTAATGATCACAGTGGCATGGCTTCTTCATCTTTCCAGGAACAGCATTGTACTACTGATTAATTCAATAACAATGTTCCCTTTACATTGGTGTGAAAATTCACCTTGTACCCCATGTCAACTCTTTTTTCTTCAGACTTTTAAAGTAGTTGCTTCACTCAACAGTGGATGAGAGCTGTCAAATATGTGGGCAATAATGCTGCCAGCATCCATAAGCCCTTTGAAGAAGTTTGTGGAGGGATTTTCCTTCCAGCAAGCAGAGTTCCCAAGAGAGTGCACCAAAAATGTTAGGAGGGGCAACCCTTGGTTCCTCATCTGAAAAGTTAGCCATATTTGACCCATTCCCATCCAATAGCATACTAACATAGTATGTGCATATTCTCACAGGCAATATCACCACTGACATACAGTTATGTACAATTTTCCTCTTTGTAACCTAAATGATACCTGAGTTATTTTTTATTGTTACTATAAAACTTAAATCCCTTGTAAAAGTGGCTGGTGGCCAAGTATATTTAAATTAAACAAACAGATGCAAACAAGTTACTTGCTTTGATTTACTGTACAGCAGAAATGTATATATGTAACAGGCAGAGTATGAAATTGGGCATTCCATATAGAATACCTAGGTTATCAATACATTACCTGAATTTTATACTCTGCCTGTAACATAAACATGAAAATACTGCTTAAAAAATTGATATTAAATGCAAAGTTGAAATTTCATATGGAAGTAGAGGAAATATTGGTATTAAAGCACTAAGCATTAATGTATTGCTATTTTAAGTAAGAAGCTGTACCACTGGAAATATGAGAGGGTTGTGCTACTGCTAATAGCTCATTTTTAAACGCACCTCACGGACGGGCTTCAACAGAAAATTGTAGCAACCTATACCCAGCCCCCACTCTTTCAGCCCCCCCCCCCAAGGAAATTAAAAACGTTTTTAAAAAAGTATTTGCGTATTTTTTTTTTTTTGGGAGGGGGGGGGGGGGGGGGGCCTAAAGAATAAACTTGCCGGGCCTCGCAACTTCTTAATCCGGCCCTGGGGCTCGCGATGAACCCTTGATATTTTCGGGTTTTTTTTTTTTTTGGGGGGGGGGGGGGGGGGGGGTAGCCTAAAGAATAAACTTGCCGGGCCTCGCAACTTCTTAATCCGGCCCTGGAGCTCGCGATGAACTCTTGATAGTTATCGATACATTTCTATCACAAACCTGGTTCGTTTAGATCACGAACCTAGGAACCGAAGCACATGGGATGGGGAAGGGTGGGAAAGCACGAGGCTTACCATGCCTTCAGCTAGCTTTTACAGCATGCACTTAAAAGCAGAGCAGAAGTGACATCTTTATTCTCCATGTTAATATTTTCATTTTCGAAGACTCAAGCAGATGTCTCTGATAGCTTGCATTTCGTTAGGTAAGATCCTGCCTGAGGGTGTTAGCTTTGTCCTTCAGACTCCTTATAATGCACCATATCCAGCTAAATAATAACTCCCCTTCCCCGCTTGACTGCTCAGCAATCGAAATGGGGAGGGAGGAGTCTTTTTTTGCTGGAAATGCTATACCACATGCATATATGTAACCCCTTCAATTTCGCCTTGTCGAATCTCTTTTGCACGATAAAGTTTATTTTGTTACTTTTACAAATTTTACAATGTGAATTTCGCAATAGATCCCTGATTAGTTTAAAGTTAAGTGATCATGTGATGATGATGATAACTACGTGATAAATGACTTCCAAATCACGAAACTACCTTTCCATTTACCTTAAATGCAACTTCACGAAAGAACAATGCAGACCTTCAGCTGCAACTGCTCCTGAAGCAATTGGTCAACTTCATATCCTTTGAATTCGGATCGATAATAGTTTGGGCAATAGTAGTTGCAAAAGTGTATTGCAAGTCTCCGACGAATTTGGAACATAAACTATGATGGCTTACCCTTTTCTCTGCACCTTAGCTGCAGGAACTTACTAGTCTCGGAAGAGAAAGTTGATCATTACTTCAGCGTAGTACAAACCACCCACCTTCAGGGTAGTCAACAACCGAGGAAAGTCAGTCTAGTTCTTCTGAACTAGACAAAGATCTTCCGTTTCCTACCCCTTCTGTCATGGTGTAATTTAATCGTGAGTTTCTAGAACCTATATGAATATCAAACAACAAGTACAGCAGATGCGTATTCAACGGAATTTTTATTATCACTATACAGCTCTGACATGGATCCGTAGCATTTTAAAGGCTGCGTAGCAGTAGAGTTCATTCGCCTGTGTGTACGGTGCAGTATATACCTGGAATACCAGTGCTACACCCCTGTTTCCACCCGTTCGACGAGTTCATCGACCTCTTCTCCCTATCAGAAACTCCACGAAATGAACGTATAATCTGGTCAACAGGGGCATTTCTGAAGGAGTACGTAGTGCGGCCATGACAGACGTCATTGCTCTCTGGAATCTGTTTGGTTTTGTGTCGGTTTTTCGCTCACAAAGAGAAAGCAAGGAGAAAGAACACTCGTGATCAATCATTACTACCCTGCTTTGTTCGCTACTTCTTTCAGTTTACGCACTAATTCCAATGGAAACCAGGATGCGGATAGGCATTCCACACGTTTCTCAACACAGGAGGATGACTAGACGAGGATAATGGAATTTCTGGCCTGTGTTCCCCGATGCAGAAGTGCGCGACGAATGCGGTTGACCTTCACGGAAGATTTTTTTTTCTATCAGTCGATTCAGTGCTGTCTTGTCTTTGTCGCGCACCCGTGCATCCGGGGCCCTTGTGTGTTAGAGTGTGACGTCATCACCAACCCGCCAAGGTTCTCTAGTAGTCCCCCGAGGAGATTCCCATCAGTCCATCCCCAACCCTGAGCCAGTGAAAGTGTCCCTCGTTCGGGTACTTTCAGGGCTTCCACCTTCCCCATGCGCCCGGAATCTATATCATAGGTACGAGTATTCCCTAGTCCCTCCAGCGTAGTCGAAAACGTAGTCTGCGGACTCTGTGGGCTCAGGACCATGTCGAAGGAGATATGCTTATTTCCCATGTAAATGTCATATTCAGGTTATTAGTGTGAACTTAGACGTATAGCTCATAGCGCCTAACAACTTAGGGAGGCGAGAGTTTGGTGCGAACCTAGAATTCAGAGAAGTTCGCCGTGATTTTATCGCGTACTAAAAATGAACGGGATGCGAAGGCCTAATTCATACTCGTGCTGTGCAGCATGCAGGATGTGGGTACAGTACACAACAGCTGCCAGGTAACTGACAGCAACGTTACACGCTGCTTCCAGCGAGAAATGCAGTTTTATATAGCTGTAAAACATGTTTTACTGTAATCTCAAACATAGGAATGGTTTTTATTCAATCCAGCCTGTTGTACAACGGAAACTTTTAGCCGAACAGCATGCTCTGTGTAGCTGCTGTTCAGGAATTTCTTGTTGCATTGCAGGATTGCAATCGAGTATGAACTCCGTCCTAGGCAGGAATTGCTGGAAAGGAGAATTGAGTACCATTGTGTCACCCACGTGCCAAGATCAACCATCTCGATCCAATTCCAACCGGTTCTCCAATTCTCACACCTGCAGGGTATACACATACACTAGGAAAGGAAAAGCCGTTTTGCCAGGATGTCTTGTTAAACATGAGCGCAATCTTTCATTTACTGTCCATCGTGACATCAGTGCATTTATGTCAAGAGTGGCGCATACTCTTGTGGACTTCTGGTTTAGCTGAATTTCTATAATATTTTTTTCGAATTTAAAAGTTATTATTCCTTACACCCAATCTTCAAACTCCATCAAGCCATGGGAGAACTCGCTGCAAAATGTTCAAATGCTGTTCAAGCAATCTGAAATTACCTCAAAAGCACATGCCAAGCGAAATGCGAACTCCTAAGCGATAATCAGGTGTGCCATGAAATTAGAGCTTTGCCAGGGGGAAAAAAAAATAAAGAAAGAAACCAGTTTTCCCCCCCCCCCCCCCAATCCATATACACAGCCTAAGCAAAGGACAGCATTGAGTTCGTACCATAAATTTCCCTAACCCACCCCACCCCCAAACCATGGCACCTTCGAGCAGCGCTCCAGGAAATTTTTAATGGAGTCCAAGGTGCGCCGTCAATTAATCAAGGTTGAGAACCCCTGAACTAGACCACTGCATAGAGCAGAGTAGTGTTGTCAAAAGGAAGGAATCCTCGAACCTTCTCGATCTCATCCATCAGCTGCAAAAAGTATTTGTTATGCTCCCAGCTTCCGTCCAGAGTGGAAACGAAAGACTCTTGGCTCGAAGAATAATTGAACTGGAAAGAAAGGACGAACTAACCTTCGAAAGATGAATGTCCTGAGATGACATGGCAATGAAGCGGAGAAGCGGACTGGACGTGTCTAGCGGGACAAGCACCTTGAGATCCTTTGGCATCCTGGTCAGGTTTTCTTGAAACCAGACTCAATCAGCATTATAGACTATGCACCATTTAGTTACGCTATCATTAGTGACAAGGGGCCGTATTCTATTAAAATCTTAAACTTCATTAACGCAAATTGCTCAACCTAGGCCATGCATTTGAACGGGGAAAACACCAGCTAAGCACCTTGCTAAGAGGAAATACGGCCCAAGGTCTCCTCATTTCATTCAGGAAACCCCTCATAATCCATCCCTTGTGACTTCCTAAGGGAAACACATTCCATCCCATCATCAGGCAGTACTTCAACAAGCCGTCTTATCTTTATGGACGATACTCGAGTTCCTCTGTCCGTCATAGTTACTGCAGGCACTATGCATGGCCATTTGTAAGATGGTCTAGGGGTCACTGCACACGCAAAAGGACTTTGCAAGCGATTATTTTTTCGGTGAAAATAGAAAAAAAGACGCCTTCAATGCATTGCTTATTCGTTTTCGCACGTCCGGAAGATTTTTTAATGTTGACGTTGCACTATCAGAATGACTTATTTTCTATTGGAGTCTTTTGTAAGATCCCGACTGCGCTGGCCTCAGCCCAGTTTCACTTTCACTCTCGCGGTTGAGACATTCAGAAGTTCTTGAAACGGTATTTCAAGGCACACATTATGAGACTCAAAGTGCGTTTAGCTTCTATTATGCCCGGGGGGGATTCAGTCTCATTTCCACCACAGTCTAGGCAACTGCCAGATCTCGTGCTTTCCGGCTTGAGAGTGGAGAAAATGACCCAATAGTGTCGCAACCTGTTAGTCGTAAAATGCTTCATGGAGGTTTGCGAGTTGAGGAAACGGCTTCTATCGACCATTCGCGACGTCGTGATAGTTCATACGGCCAGATCCCATCCGAAGGAAGCAACAGTCAACTCTATATACGGTTTGGGAGGACTTGGGTCAGCTGTTACAGGAAGTGGGCGGTGTTGGCGTATTTCGAATTTGTACATGGTGCATTTATTTGAATTCTGACTCCACCCAGGCACCATATCCCATTCGAATTCAATGTTACCCCGCGGCACATGAGGAATTATTGCTAGCGAAATGAGAAAACAGTTGGGTTTTTTTCTTATATTTTATATAATGCCTGCCCTAACTAGCTTTCCGATCACGTCTTGTCCTTCAGTGCCTGCCCCGTAGTCAAGATCAGCGCCATTCACCTTCAGGGCCTCCTGCCCCTGACTTCTTAACGACAACGTGACTTGGTTAGATATTTTTTTCATTCACTTCCTCTGAAGGTCATCAGAGAGCCCGGGATAAAGGTCTTTGTCTCATATGTATGGTTCAGGTGGCAGCTATGCAAATAAGGCCATGGATTCTCAAGGCAAGGAACCCGGAAAATACAGCACCCTTGTAGTAATAAACTCGCGCAGTTACTGTTTTCTTTCTGAAAATATTAGATTAACTCCCCGAATAAATTAAAAACTTGATTTGGTCAGGTTTCCTCGGTATAAATTCAGGAAAAATAAGACACCGCAAATGCTTTACCTGTATTTCCTGGTGTACCATGCACGAGGAAGTAATCATAATACGGACACGGTTCTATAGTCCAATTTTCCCGCACCACTTTCCATGAGTACTGAATCATGGGAAATCTACTGTAACAGTCCAATGGTTCGTAAGGGAGCACTGAGTTTAATCACATTCAGGGAAGCAGCCTACTATAGACTTTAAGGTAACAGGGGAGGTTCCATTGATAGCTAAAATTTTCCCAATTGGCAAAGAAACAGACTTTTATGTTGGTTTGCGTCATTCAAATCCAAAGGAACTCACGGAATGAGGAAATCTAATGGGAACACTCACGAATCCAAAGCAATCCACTAATTAGATAGTCCAAGTGAGCAATCCGACCCTCAAATGTGGTCATATTTCGCCCAATTCAGGGAAATCTTGCTCCATACTTTACCAAAATATCTATTCGCTGCATGGGCATTAATTAGGTTCTCGAATAAAAAAAAGAAGTCCACGCATCAAAATTCAACTGAGATCAGGAAAAACGCTCTACCATTATCGCAAGTATCGCAACAAGAGAACTTGGATCAACGCGAACTGCTTAGATCTCGGATAAGGAGTTAAAATTCATAGAGTGGATTTTTTAACAGCGCCTTATCTGATAATGCAGCTTCATTTTCAGGGAAAATACATGATGTATCCTGAAAATAAAGTTGCATTATCGGATAGTTCTCTGTTCAAAAATCCACTCTTGTGTTTTTAAGGGGATGATGAGTTCGGCTTCAGTAACTATGATAACCGCATCTCCTGAATACGAGCTGAGTAACGAGTGCAAGAGCCTTTTTCCCCTGTCAGTGCAGAAAGGTATATGGTGCCAGTTACTCTCGGTCGAAGACATGAAGACCCTTTTTAGCCGTTTGAAGAGTGTGAGAAATAGTACCAGTATTTATCGATCGGAAACTTGATAACCTAGGGACTATAACGTTCGTGTTCGTAAAGTTATGTATTATCATATACGGAGCAGCTTAGAAAGTATCAGTTTCATCGTTTACAGAATGTATGAATAATCTTCATCACTTGAGTGAGGCGTTTATAAGTTGAGACCGCCGAAGTCAATGCAGTCTTGAGAACGAAGTGGTAAGGATCGACACACTTAGTTGCACACATCCTGTCCAATTAGGTGACATGCCCCCGAATGAAGTGAAGTTGGGGTAACTTAATTGATAATTGTGGTTCATCCCACAGAAAAACTTGCCAGCGTGGCCCTACTAGGTGTGTTCTGTTCCGGTTTTGGCTTTTGTCAAGGCTTCGCTTTTGAAGCGGCTTATATTCTCACGAGACACAAGAACCAGTCTTCGATCGGTTGCTTAAAAAGTATTACACATGTCATCGCACAACAAATATCATCAATGTGGGTCCAAGAGATGTAATAAAAAGTTGCTCGTGCTTAACGAATAGTTGCAACAAAAAAAAAGAGAGATAAGAACAGAGACATCAAGGAGTTTGAATCTTGCAGATTGACTTCCAGGCTACTTCGAACGTAATGTAATGCACAAGGTACAAAGGGTTACAGTCAGTGGCGGATTTTACGGGGGGCTTCCCTGGGACAGAGCTTGGCGCCCTTACTCCGTTGCCCTGCCCCCCTTCCCCCTGACTCTACAGCCAAAGTACTCCACTGGTTGCAGTCAATGTCATGGAGGAAATAGAAGTGAAAAAAGCCTAAGGTTTCTCGCCACGTTTCATTTAACATTTTTAAAATTTAAATTGAATCTTTTTCCCTGAATAACAAAAATAGGCCCCATGTATTGTTTCCTCCAAGCCAAGATGACCCTTGTTTTAGCAGATTACCCTCCATTGCCCGTCACGTTTATTTGTTGATTGATTCTAAGAACTCGATGGCAGTCGAGTGAGTGTGAACCAGTTTCAAACAATGATTACATAAGAAGACTGCATTTTGTTCCGGCACATTGGTTTTGGAATCACTTTCCCCCCCTACCCTGTCCCTGGCGCTGTTATCAATCGTATTCGAGGGTGATTGCAGTCGTCACGATTGGGAGTGGTGCTATAGCAACGAGCTAAGCACATGGAGCAAAATCCTCTACTAAGTGAAGGAACAATTTCTTCACAACTCGACGGTAGGGCCCAGATAAAGGTAGAGAGTACATGTGAACTTAAAGGGTGGGGAAGTCCAGCCGAAAAAAAATGCCGTCCATACGGATACACTAGAGACCTAAGCCTCTTGCCATTGCCTATAGTCCAGTTAGCGCTGGGCACAATGGCTGCTCCTTTGCTTTACGCTGACTTCTGTCAGTGTGAGCTGTCACCTTAAACTTGGTCAGAAATCTTCCGAGTACCTCTTTGCATGGAGCTAGCCTTGGGTTTTTGTGTCATTGATGGCCTATGCTAATCTAGTTAAATTTGTATCACCGAACACCTAGTTTAATTGCGTGGGGTGTCAGTCAACATGAAAATCAGACAGCGATGTCGACTGCTTCATGCAACTTACGCGGCCAGAACTAGCGTTAGGCCAAGTGCCTGACAGCTACGTGTAACATTTTCGTCAAGTCTTAAGGTAAGTTAGGCTAAAACTAGGACCGCAATTTCATTCACCTCAAACTATTCATTGGTGTTGGCAGGAGAGGCCAACTATAGGATGGACCAGGAAAAAAAAGGGGACATTGATTTCGTATTGATTTTATTGCGTGCAAACAACGTGGTCCATTTCATTTTCAAGGGCACAAAAGCCCTCATCCAGAGCTAAATTACCAAATGGGCAAGGTGGCATGTGCCTTGGGGCACATCATGAGAGGAAACCACTGGGTATGAAGGGGTAAATAAATGTACTCTTAAATGACAGGATTTCAATGTGGATCACAACCTCCTCCACAAGGTTTACCTCTCCTGCACAAGATTCTGCCAAGGAGTGGGGGTTGTGTGCAGTCTGACTAGGGGTGTATGAAACTTCAATCTGGTCCTGCCCACATTTCATAAGTTAATTCAACAAAAAAGTAGCTCAATGGATCCCCCATGGAAACCGTGTCACCCTGTAAATGTGAAAGTCATACCCAAATTGCTTTCATGAAAGACTGGAGAGTTATGTTTTCTTGTTTGTGATGCATGTTGGCTTTTAGGATTTCAAGGTTCATGATCATAAAATACCAATGGACTCTTCTCTGCAATTCTATCTAGACACATATTCTACCAGATTGAGATTCAGATGTCAGCACAATGAAGTCTGGTGTCCTCTCACTGAGGAATAGCACAATTGCTTCAGATCCATGAAAGGATGCACCATTATGCTGATCATGTTATTGTTCTATCCAGCAGTGGTTTCAATTCAAAGCCAATCATGAACCACATAGACTGGACCTCAATCTGGTAGATTACTTAGTCTGGAGGGAGTTTCAGAGTAGTTCAGATAATAGGATAAGAGGTAATGGGATCAGAGACCTCAAACATCTCAAGATCACTGAAGGGTAAATTTTCCTATCCAGTTTTTTTTATGAGTAATTTGGCAATGACTTCCACATTTGCAGGGCATGGGGACAACCATGTGAGCAACTGCTCTGTTGAATGAGCTATGAAATGTGGGCTATATCCACTATAATAAATTCAACTCCATGTTTTTTACTATTAAAAAATCAATACTAAATCAGTGTCTCCTTTTTCTGGGCCACCCAGAAGATGGAAACAAAGGTGTTCAGTCTAGCATTGGGCATAAAACTCTTTGGGAGACTTGTTATATTTCTCTTTAGACTTGGTTGGATCTCTTTGAAATTGGACACTTCCTCTAACGGTCTATAATTCATGCTTTTCTATTCCCACTTAAGGTCCAACCTAAGCTGTAATCACTGGTGGCAATGGATGGAGCTGAGGCGAATCCACCTGATGAGGACTTGGAAGATCCGCCAGGACAGCAACATCAGCAACGATTTCGTTCCAGGACATTCTTTGTCACAACTCTCAGATACAAGATATCTGATCTGCATACTCTTGCAGATGGAAAGGCTACTAAAGAGTCCATTATTGAACAGCTGCATAGGTCAGCATTGCTTGTTTCTAATAATTCAAATTAATTGACTCCTTACGTCATAAGTCTTCTTACCATTTTAAAAATTTATATTACTAGGGAGTGCCAAGAAGTACCTCCAGGAGCAGGTTTGTCCTTATCATTAAGGAATCAGCTGGAAACCTATTCCAAGGAAGTGAGAAGGGCAATGGTATCTGTAGTAGGGAGTGATGGCTGTGCTCCACTCTTCATTGCTTGCAGGAGAGGAAATCTCATGATAGTTGACTACCTCATTGATACCTGCAATGCAGATCTCGAGCAGAAAGGTGAATGCCAAAGCCAATAAGCACCTAAATTAGCATTTTTCCATGAGATAGATAGATTTCTTGGAATTAATACATCCTCTTTTTATTAGGTTCATACAAAGTTCCTGACGACCAGTCTGTTCATGAAGTTACCCCATTATGGTGTGCAGCAGTGACTGGGAATTTAAATGTTGTCAAGCGACTCATCAAAGCTGGGGCAGACATCAATGCAGTTTCAGATTCTGGTTCTACTCCAGTCCGATCAGCTTGCTTCATGACACATCATGATGTTGTGGTAAGATAGTAACTGTCAACTCTGGTAGGAGATATGCACCATCTCAAATGGGGCTTGTTTGCAAAAGGTGTGAAAACAGTTGGAGCTTGAACAGATTGGTGGTGAAAATTTTTCAGATGATCCTATTTTCTATCTTGACTCCATCAGGCTGGAAAGCTCTTACAGGCCTGCAAACATTGTTTTATGATGCTGAAATAATGTTGGTATCTGAGAAGGTCGAAGAAGATCCTTGGGAATAATGTATAAACAAGAATTTGAGAGATTGGCTCATTGGGCAATAAGAAAGGAAGAAATTAGAACTTTATTGCAGCTGAAGCCCCTTCAGAAAATTCCATTTGAGGGAACATTGAAGGTTTAGGTTCTAGGAACTCTAGACCTTTTAGGAAACTTTGCTATGTGTTTTCTTTTTATGAGAAATAAAAACTTGGGTTAAATGTTTTCCTGCATGGATCTTCATGCCTATCAAGTGTGTTTCTTATGCTATCTTATTCTAGGAGTATCTGGTGAAGAGTGGTGCAGATATCCATCGTCCCAATTACAATGGAGGGACTTGCCTCATCAATGCAGTCCAAAGTGCTCCATTGTGTCGACTCCTCCTTCAGTCTGGTGCCAGGGTGAATGCCCAGGATATTCAGTTGAAAACAGCTTTGCATTATGCCATACAAGAACATAGGTTGGATAGTGTGAAAGTGCTTCTGAGATACGGTGCTGACCCGATGCTCCGAAGTCGGCATGGGGATGATGCTTTGCACACTGCGTGCCTACATGGATCAGTTGAGGTCCTTGACTTTCTCACTCAACATGTCAAATACCCTGCAGAACGAGTGATTGAGGCATATGAGCTGATGGGTTGTACATACATGGATGGGTTCCGTGATCTTCCCCTTGCTGTCTCATTTTGGAAGAAGGCCCTTTCACTGAGAGCATCTAACAGTATTGAGAAGTCTTTGTCTCCCAGCTTAGAGGCCTTTGGTCATGTGAGGGTAAGGGGGAGCAAGTTTGACATCAGATGGAAACTCACATGCATTCTGAAAGAAAATGATTTAACAGTTATGTTGCTGTATATAACAGGAATTTGCCAGTTTGGAGGAGCTGGAGTCTGCAGCTCATGACATTGATCTCCTGAGAATGATGAGTGTTGTCATGAGTGAAAGGATTCTTGGTCCTTACCACAAAGATCTCCTTTTCAGGTGATTTAAGAGTTTTTTTTAACTCCATCCTTGCAACTGTGAGGAAAACTTTGTTGGAAATGTATTGATGGTGAGCTAATTCTTTATCTTGTAGGCTAATGTACAGAGGAGCAGCTTTTGCAGATGCTGGGCAGCCTCACTTATGCATCAGGCTGTGGACAGAGGCTCTCAAACGAAGGATCTCTCATGACACCATCCTCTACACAGAGACCTATTTTGCTGCTCAAGCACTGACACGACTTTTTTTGGGTAAGTCAGACTTTGAGCCATGCCTAAGCTTAATGAACAGGATTTCCATAGGACCTACAGTGGGTTTTTTTTACATGCAGAGTGCTGGATGCTCTTATTTTTTCTTTCCCAGACTTGTACACAGAAAGAAATTTGGCTAGTACTCAGGTGATGAAGGTCCTGGACCTTCTTATTGAGAGTATTCCGGGAGCTATGCTCCTGCTGAGCCCTGCACCAGTGTTCCGCAAACAGACAGACTGCTTTGACCGAATCCTCAGAATTATTGTGCATCTTCTTCACATACTTGTAAGTTCTTATTTACTAGATATAGTTTTGTGAATTTCCTCATAATTTGTACCTGCATCTACTTCCTTCTTTTTCCCACAGATTGCTGTACAAACAGATGAGAAGGATTTAGTGGTGAGAATTCGTCATCTGTTGCAGCTGAATCCTACCTCCAGCCAGGGTGATACCCTCCTTCACATGTCTGCTGCTTCCAGCAGTTTTAGGCCACCAAATTTCTTCGATGAGAATCAGTTCCGAATTTTTCCCAAGTTAGTGGCCATCACATTGCATCTTTTTATCTTGATGTTAGCCCACCATTTTGCATGTGGATGTTGAAAAAAAAAATAATCAACCAAATTTTTCTTGCATTGCAGTAAACCTGTAACAGAATGGCTCTTGAAATGTGGAGCCAATTCAAATGCCATTAACCTTCATCTATCTACACCTCTGCATTATGCCTCCATGCCTCACAATTATTCCCCAGAAGTGAGTCAGACCACTTGCTAATAACTCCAAACTATCATTCTTACAAATTTTGAGCAAAGCTTGATAAACTCTCCTAATGCTTAAATTTTTTAGATCCTGGAATGTCTTCTGTCATATGGAGCTCATTTAGATCAGAGGAATGCTGATCTGAAAACTCCCTGGGAGTATCTAGTGAAGAATCCAGATTGCCCAAGTCACATCTTCACTCCTCTGAGCTTGAAGTGCCTATCAGCACAGAGCATCATTCAGCATAACCTTTCCTTCCGGGGGAACATCCCTCAAAGCCTCGAATATTTTGTGTCCATCCATTAAGAGATGTGCACTTTGAATTTGTGATACCCCTCACCAGTGTCTATCTCTCCCTTTCTCTACATTGCTTCCTTTCCAGTCATCAGCTCAGGTCCAAGATCATAGACTTGTTCTTGTAAGTTGTTTACCTTGGGCAAATGGCAGATGTTCTGTCTTTCTGCTGTGATGAGCTTGTGGCATTAAATGAAAACATTGTATTCAATTTTAAAAATTTCATGTTTGGGAATCACCTCTATCTGGTTTCAGTGCCATCATGCTTAAGAGGTAGTGAGCATGAACAAGTACTTTCCCATGGTTACTGTGAACTGTCACAGGATTGCTTGTCCCATAGACTATTTTCTGTATCCTTGGTCTCCATGTGTTTATGTGGTCAGACTCACAGACTGTCCTCAGGTCATGTTCATCTGTGCTTATTCTTTTGACAGTCTTTCTTTCAGTCCTCTTTGAATTCCTGAAGATATGCTTGGTACTGCTCACTTGTCACTGAGAAAAATGTTTCATTTTGCTGTGTTATGATGTGGCAATCTTCCTTGGTGATCAGATCTGATTCATGAAGTCTTTCCTGAATGAAACTTTTTCTGCAAGTGTGAAATTGCAAATGGCATATCCTTAATATTGTGTCTCAAATTTTGTGTATACAGAACAATATTGGGGATGGGTGGTGGGGCAGAATGGGGTCACCCAGATTTCAACCAAACCATGACTGGGTATTTACTGCACCATGACTCCCTACCAGGTTTCAAGGTTTTCACCTTGGCGACACCCTATATAATTGCTTGTTAACACTTTTGGAGCAGAGAAAAGTGACTCGTCTTCCATATTGAGTTTTTGATTAGAGAAACAAAATGGCACAGGAACGGTGAAGGCATCCATTGTTCTTTGGCGCTAGAATTGAAAGAAATAGTCACTAAGTGACTATTTCTTTCTTATATGAAGCCATTGTTTTTGGGGCAGCTTGCGTCTTTTTTTCTTCCTTTTTGTCCGCATCTCCATATCAGACAGAGCTGCTGGGGAAAATGGTGACATGGTGGCCTGCATCAAGAGGCGTTACCGTATTCCCTTTCTTAAGCCCTTCTCATTTCGAAATTCACCCTCTGGGTATTAGATAATGGGAAGGAGCGAAGTTGTGCATGCTCCATTCCCACTTAACAGACCCCGGGATGTGGAGAAAACAAGAACAGGAACTCCGAGGGGCAGTTTTTTTGGATATTAAAATGTAATTTCCTACTTTCAGTTCTTTCTTTGAAAAGTGGGGGCCATAAGCGTAGTTTGGATGGAAAAAGTGATGGGACCAAGGACGTAGCGGGGGTTTTTTTCGAGTGTCTGGACACCACCCCGTAATTAAGCAAACTTCATAAAACAGTACGGTGGGATGGGAGGGAGGGGGGTTGGGAAAAGTTTCACATATGAAGTTTAGACTTTTACTCCTATTCCACCACTCTTAACTTTACAGCGCCAGAGGCGGATACAGAAAATTTTCATAAGGGGGCGGTTCCCTACTTCCCCCCCCTCCGCCTTCCACTACTCCCAGCTCTATCGCCTTTTTCATTTCTCGTTTGGGGTTAAAACCTGAATATCTATTTCACTGGCCCCCCCCCCCAAAAAAAAAAAATAATTTAGAAGCTATTTTTAAAAACGGGGGAAAAAATAGAATGGTAACCTGGCCAAGGGGGAGCGGTCATTTTCTGCCTCCATAGTTCCACTCATTCCCAGAAGGGGATTGGCTCCTCAAGCCGCTAGTCCAGGGGTGCACAACATACGGCCCGCGAAGCCCTTGCCCGTGGCCCGACATGACCAGTGTCGTAAATGCTACCATAGCACCTGCCCTATTTACCACAGCTATGGTCAGCCATACTGCGGCCCGCGGTGAGTAAAAGTCGCAAATGGCCCTCACAGCCTTTTGAGTTGTGCACCCCTGTGCTAATCCAACTACGTGCTAACAGCCTCGTGCTTAAGAGCGATATTCCAAGTGAAATTACCAGCTTGAGGGATAAGATTGAGGACGACGCTCGCATGGGAAGATACCAGTCCAACCACTTGTGTCCCTACAACCATCTCTGTACGTACAGGCTTTCATTTGCTATTTCACATTCATCGAGGCTTTACGACTGAAAAATATATATATTCTAAAAAGAATTCTTAAGTTTCCCATGCTTAGTTTAACCTATACCTATGCCACACTTGTAAAATACCCTCTTCAAAGACGAGTACGTTTTGACGGATTGGTGATTGAACAGAAAACAGCCTGGTTAGTGGAAATCAAAATGGTCCGACGAGTGAAAGAAATCAAAGAGCCTTCAACAACCCCTCGTCGTGTGAATTAACGTTTGCTATTCCCTACGTACGAGTCAGCATCGCCCATCGTAATAACCTAGACACAGATGGGCATTGATTTTTCTGTGCAGAAACAGCGTTTTTGGCCGTCCTGGCGGGGGGTGGGGGGGGGACGAGGAAAAATGTTGCCTGGCTGGTGAAAGTTTGGGAATTTATTTCAGGGCTGGTCTAAGCCAACTTCTTCGAGTAGCTTTCTGTAGTTTCCGCTGATTTTTGGAACAGCAAGCACTACCAAAATATCGACTTCACCAATGGTTCTGACCAAAACGATAGAGGCATTTAAATAATGCTTGTACGTATATGCTTGGTTATGGTACCACAGCTGCCAAAGCAGAAATTCATAGCTGAACTCTTGGTTTCGAAGAATTTTTAATTCATCGATTGGATTTTTTTATTATCCCCCATCTCACTGAAGGACGATACCAATCTTTCCACACGTCCAAAAACGGTGCGGGAAGAAAGAGGTATTGTAATAGAATGAGAAAATAGAGTTCTCTAAGAATGTATGCAAAAGGACTTTCGATATTTTCCTCATTTCTCCCAACCGCTCACCTTCCTCGGCCATTTCATCATATCATGAGCTTGAAAGAGCAGCACAAGACACCCCGAAAATAGTTCCTGGCTACGTCCCTGGTGGGAAGGCACGGGATCTAGGGGACACTGTTATCAGGCATTTCATGAGTTTTTTTCCTTCTTTTTTGGGCTTCCTTTATTGAAAAGTGAGGCACGTGCCCCCCCCCCCCCCCCCCCCCCCCCTCCGCCCCAAAAACGTACTCGTCTTTGAAGAGGGTATTTTACAAGTGTGGCATAGGTATAGGTTAAACTAAGCATGGGAAACTTAAGAATTCTTTTTAGAATATATATATTTTTCAGTCGGCCTATCAGAATTTTATTTTCATTTTCGTCAGTTTGGAAAGCCATAATTTCTGTTTTCGTTATAAATTTTTCAGAGCAAAAATAATAACCCAATGGATTTTATTTTAGTCAGGACTTCATAATTTTTGTCATTTTCCTCCGCATTGTGACCCAATTTTCGACATTTTTTTTCTCGGACTAAAATTTCGATCAATTTTGGTTTTTAAAAAATGTGCTCCAACAAATAAAACTTGTATTTCTCGTATTTCCATGAATGTTATGGAGGAAACTCCAGGAATCCTCAGAGAATCCAGAACCTTTACGAGGGATTTACGATTCGCTTGCAAAATGTGCGAATGTGGAGGGACTTGGAGATTCTGGCTCTGGATCCATAAGATGATTTAGCGACAGGCCTTAGGTTACACCTTACTTCGGCCAAGTCGTAGGACTGGGTCTGTATCCAAAAAATAATTGCTTCCCCTCATAATAGGTAATCCTGTCAAATGCCTAGGTCTAGCCTGAACCCATGAGAAACGTTTGAAGACATGTAACGTTTGCCCATTATGTGTTTTGAGATATTTTCAGATATCTAGACAAATGAAGTATAATTTAACCAACAAAGGATCGCGTCGGAACTAGAGATAAGGAAGTAGGTCTAGGCCAACCATATAGACCTAGCCAAAACAGTTTCGCACAGGATGAGAAAATACAATCCACAAACACCGAATGAAGGACACGTGACACCCTTCACAAATTGGGCTGCGCGCAAGCATGGATGGGAAATGTGAAATGTGTGCGAGACTATCGAGAGATACATGTACAGAAGACAATTTTCCAATTTAAATATTGTGCATTACTTTAACTCTTTCACTGTGGTTGTTCCGTTTTCGTTCTCACATAGGGATATCAGGGGTTTTGAACTCGGCAGCGAAGGAGGAAACATGTTTCACTTTCGAATTCAATAAATTGCAGAATGTCTGCACGTATTTTGGCAGGATGGAACAAAAATATGACGAAATGTAATTTTCGTCCAGGACAACCTTATTTTTCCTTCTCGTCCACTTTTCATCCATGAAAAATGAATCATTTTCGTTTTCGTCTACCTGACGAATATTGAAAAAGTTTTCGTCAAGGACTTTTTCGTCTGAATTTTCGTAAGCGAAAACATCTTTGGTACGTGAGTACGTGTCCCTCTGCCCCTCCCCCCCTAAAGCTACGTTGCCAATCATGAGTAAGACTTCACTGATTTTCAGAGCTGCCCTGAAGGCTGATCATGAAGCACATTTGTAATAACTAGAAAACTTTTTTGTTCAGATTTTTTTTCTGCAGCCGTGCTTTTCTTTCACTCAATGAGAAGGTACGGGCGCCAAAAATCCCAACGCCGTCTCCCCCCCCCCCCCCCCCCTTCCCCCCCGCCACCCCCGTAGGGATAAGGGTCAATCCATAACTTTCAAAATGACGCCGAAACGGAAGGCATTTCCACCTTATAAAGTAAAAGTGAGGGTGGCATCCATTGTTGTTTCATATAGTTACGTTTTGGCGCCCTTGGTGAATTTGCGCTCTATGCTGAAGCACATGTGGCACATGCCTAAGGCCGGCCCTGGACTTGGGGTATATGCAAGTCCAAAACTTGATGGCGAATCAAATAACGTCGGGGGAATGGGGCCCTTCCGAAGTCTAGGCGAATACTGGACGAGGCCAGAAGCGAGAATTGTAACAAATCGAAACAGGCGTCACCTCCGATCCTGACTTCACAAAGGGTGATAGCACTCAGGGCATCAGAAGTGACGTACGAATAAGGCAAGGAGGCAGGGTAGCAGAAAGGGAGTGCCACGGCCAGTGTGGGAGAAGGGGTGGGGGGAGTTCTGAGCGAAGGGGAAACAAATATTATTGTGTCAAGCCCTGAAGGGATCCATTTTCGAACCATTTTGAGAAAGCACAAGAAATGGCCGTACCTAGAACCAATGAGCAGTTCCAGAGGTTCTACAAGAGCGATGAAGTTTCATTTGGTTCTACATATGTGCTGGAACCAATTCATATGATTCTACAGTACCTGCAACCTTTTCAAGGGTGTAGAACCATCAAGGAGTTCCAGCCTGAACCATTATTTTTTACGGTGTGACTGCATAAAAACGGCTACCGGTATTTATTAAATACTAGGTCGCACCCGCGTCCCGCGGGTAAAATTTTTTAAACACATGTAAAGAACTCGGTGTTAATTTTAAGTTATCGGTAAGAGAATATACTATTAGTAATCAGATGATTAAGTGTTGCACGTAGAACGTTGTCATAACATTGCTTAAACCCTCTTATGACAACGTAGGCATAAAAATCTTACTTCTTGTTATAACGCTTACCAGAAGTGAACGAGGACGTTGTCCATGACGAGAGCATGCAGTATCCATCAGACAAACGAAGGAGAGGTCTCTATTGTATATCCCCCTCTCGAACAGGCCAGCATCCATATTCGTGTGATGATCTGTTCCTGAATCGTGTATAGGTCTGCCGGAAAGCAATGGGAAGCCAGTTGTCCTATCTCCCAGCTCGAAAAATTATGATTCCCTTTTCATGAGATGGCTGGTTCAGTGTAGTTTCTCGAGAGGAATCACTCAATCCCTTCTGCTTCAGGTCGTGTGTATCGTACTCGAAGAAACAATGGCGCATAAAGATGCGAAATTAACTCCAAGTGAAGGCGTGATTTATATTTTGGGGGATATAAAATCAGATAAAAAGTAAAAGACCGCACAGTCGTCTTCCTTCAGTCGAGAAATATCTTGAAGGAACTTGATCCTAGCTGCAGCAACGCCATGGCGGCTCATTTCTTTTCTGTCATACAAGGCGAAATGGAAGCTAATTTTTCGTGTCAGTCTCATGGAAAATACCCATTTTCCCATTTGGATTGTAGAAAATGGATCCTCCTTCTCCTTCAATCTTTTCCCCCCAAAAATTAAGAGGGGTATCTTTTTTCTCATCGCGCAGTCGATAAACTCCTCCGGACGACCTCCAAATTAAAACTGGCATTCTCTTGAGAATTTCAGTCTTTTGTTACCTTTCTATTGCCTGTGGATGGCCTCATCATCACACCCGTTTAATAGATCTACTGACGCATGACGGCACAAGTCTGGGCGACACCCATACATGTTTTTCGTTCTGAGGATGGGTTCCTGATACCTTGGAATCAGTGGGATCTTTCCCTTCCGTTGGTGTCTCATTTTCCCACGAGAAATGGTCAGAAAGAGGCCAAATGGGAGAGGCAGATACAGGCACAACCAGAACAACATACTTGACTGATTATTGGAGGTATCATGGACTGCAGTTGAAGGGATTCGAATCTGAAATAGTATGACGGATTTCAAAACTGCAACCCAGTTTTAGTTCAGTTGCAGTTTTACTAGAGATTTTGTGGTGAGAGTAGTCGATAGTTGTACAGTGGAACAGTCAGGCCAAAGCGTGAACTGGAACTAGACAGTCGCGTAGCGAGAGGGGAGGGGGGTTCGGCCCCCCTAAACCTGGTCGAAATGCATTCGCCACCTCCTCCCCCAGTAGTTAGGGAAATTCCAACCCCCCCTCCCCCCTCGGTTCCCTCTCGCTCCCCCTTAGGCAAAATCTTGGCTACGCCACTGGAATTAGAACCGAATTGCAACTGAACTGCTGTTTTGAAATCAGTCTATAATTGGAAAGAAAGCGCGTTGTAAGCTGTCAGCAACAGTGTTCGACTCCTAACATCATCCACGGTCCCTTACTGTATCGGCTTAAATGAGTATATCCATGAGAGGCTGCCTATTAAAACGAAATATCTAATGTTATGTATGTGGTATCATTTAAATTGCTGTCTCTGTTAATGATGAACCGCGCCACACACCGGTTGCGATTCGATGCCTGAGGCGGACTCAGACATGGCTGCATTAGTTGGTGAGAGCCTTGTACCCGGTGCCTATGTATGGATGGATACCCACTCTCCATAGTTGACGCATATATTGTAGAGATTTGTCTATTGAGACTAGGCGTAGGATAACCAGTAGGCCCGTTTGCGTTAGCACACGTCTGGCATCGCCCATTTTATGATTCACTTAATAGGCCTAGGAATACAAAAGTTAGACCTGGCCCCTCTTTTTGACTTCATTTGTGTAAGTTGCATTCCCTAAATTCTCAGAAAACGATATAGTTGTGAACTTTAATACATTCAGCATAATTTCTTGTACAGGGTAGAAGGTTTCTGCAATTTTTTCCATTTTAGTCTATTTTTCGACCACTATCCCATCTGTTGACATTCATTGCAGGATGCTGCAGGTTCAATCTTTACCCCCCAGCTTCTTATTTTTACTATTATTGAGTTTTCCTTTGTTTCATCTGAATTTTTTTCCAATTAGGAAGTTAAGGAAAGGATGAATCACATAAGATATAAGAAGGGCATGGGCAGCCCTAGTGCAGCCAGTTCCACATCTATAAATTGTCCTATGAACTTCCATATATGATTTACCACCTTCATCAACAGCTTCATTTATATTCTATTATTTATAATAATCATTTGAGTATTTTACAATCACTTCATATCTTTGACAGTAATTGAGGCCATTTTATCCTAGACTTTCTATCGACTCAAGAGTTTTCCAAGCTATAAAAAAGCCCCCTCCATTGGCTGAAGTAATTGAATTTGGTGCTATATTAGCCAATATCCTGCTAGTACTAACTCTAAGTAATTAAGAAAAAGTATGGGCTTCATTATTCTGAAAAGGAATCTGAAAAGGTACTTTTCAGATTGACTGCAGTGGTCAACCTGAAGTCTCTATAGACCTATTCCTGCATGAAAATTTATTTTTTAAATGTTTGATATACACTATGATTAATTTTATCTGAGCTCCTATGGGTTGATACCAGTGCCTTATTTCTTTTTTTTTCTGTTGCAGGTTGTTTGAAGTTCTTCATTCTCACCTAGAAATGACTGACTTGCAGGTTGTAGATAAAAGTTTACGCTCAGTCTTTGGTGAGTGTCCTATGAACTGCATATATGAGCTCATTATTATGCCCTAGACCTATGGATAATGTTTGACTTCAGATATCATTATGAGGCCTCTAAAACATTGACTTTGGGGGGTGGGTTGGCCTAGGCTTTGCCCTGTAGTCTGTTTTTGTACAACTAATGATGACATGTTAAAGGTCAGCCAATGAATAGTTTCAATGCCTAACACTAGAACCACCAATTTGACTGCTTGCTGATTTTTAATGCATTTTACTTTCTCATTTGGCAACAAAGGAACTCCAAATTCTTTACTTTTACTATTTAATGTCAACATTTTGAACATACCAAATAGTATCTAGAAGAAAAAAAAAACATGTTACAGAATAATAGTTTTATACTACTTTTAATACAGTGGTCAAATTGACAGCTCCAGTAGTTCTATTGTTAAGTCACTCCCATAAGTGAAAGCCTGGGGTCCTTTTGTTTCAGTTGGCAATATCCCATATGAAGCCACAGAAGAGCAGCTGAAAGAGATTTTTAGTCAAGTGGGTCAGGTTTTATCCTTCAAGTGAGTTTCTCCCTAATTTCTTCATGTACTTCTCTATGCAAACCTGGTTCTTTGGAAGGCCATAAACTAGCCTTCAGCTTTTCTCTTATCTTTTTCCTACAGAATTAAGCATTAATTGTAAACCTGGGTAAGAGAGGTAGCTGGGTAAGTTGCTTGAGTTACATGTCCATTTTTAGATTTTCCATTATAATGATATTGTCTCATACATAACTTAGTACATTCATCCAGATGCCTTTAAAACCACAAAATTATTTCACTTTTGCATCAAACAGAACAATTCTGTTAAATGACAGTATCATTTTGCCAAGTGCAGAACATCTTTGCTTGGTGAAACTCACTAATTAGCCAAAACCTGTTGCAGATTTGCAATATTTTTTATCCTATCTATGTATTCTTGACCATTTTTCAGCTGCAAGAATGAGCATGCAAAATCAAACAGCTGACAAACTAATGCTCATTTCTCTTGAGTTATGTTCCAAGGCTTTGAGCAGTTGCAATTAACTTGTGTTCTAAGTTTAAATAGTTATGTGCTTTTTTTAATATTTGAAAGTCAGTGCTTCCTCATGCTCTTTTTTAATTTGGCAACCCCTATTGAGAGCTTTTATTGTTTTTGTTCCATCTCATTCACCTAATTATTTTGAGCTTGCTCCAGTCTGTTTCTTTATTTTTATTCAATATTTATGCATAGGTTGATATTTGTCCTACATTTCATTACTTGGATGAAAGAAGCTATACCATTTTAAAGTATAAACTGTTTCTAAATGGACTTGCTGTCAGTTGGGCAAACCTTTTTATTGCTGAACTCAAAATGAAAATTCATAAGTATGAAACTTGACTTTATTTCAAGTATTGGCAGACATTATTCAGTTGCCAGGGTGTCAGTTGTGCAGAAAAGCTGATAGCTTACTGTTATATTAAGACATCTACAATAGCAAATCTCATGTTGTTGCTGTGGGGCTATTTGAAGATTAGATTCAGTGCATTTTTGTACTCAATTATGAAGGGCATTTTCAGGAAGAACAGCTTTCATCCTTTGTACTACTTTTCATTTTCAAAGTTTTTGTGACTAGTGACTTATTTTTTTGAGTAAGACAAAGAATACCTGTGCATATTTTCTCTTTCTTCCTTCCAGGGCACATATTTAAGTAAAAGTAGGACTGTCATGCATTGGTGAATTAATGTCACTGTCAAAAATTTGAGGGAATCAATGACTTTATCAGCCATCATAATAGTCTCAGCCCTACCTCTCACTCAGTAATCCCCCCTTTCTTTTTTTATTGTGTCATGAAACAATGGAAGGCAAGTTTCCCATCTCCGTGGCATTTAGGGATTGTAGATAATTGCTTGATTTTCTAAATAGTCCTAAGTGAAAGTGAGAACTTTAAATTTGCTGCGTTGAATGGATGGTTGTCTTTAAAAAAAATATTGGCCACTTTGAAGAGATGTGATTTCGCATGTAGATTTAATACATGTGATTTTGCAAAAATGATTTTCATATAAGTTAGTTCATTGGTTAGGCCACATCATTGATGAGGTTGGGTTTTTAGTAGAGTTTGCCTATCTTTGAAACTCTGAGAAGTTGGAGAATTTGATTTTTGTTTTAGATGTAGTTCCCTGTATGTGGACAAGTAAGTGATTTGTTTTAAAATGTTTTAATGGTTGAACTAAGCTAAATGTTAAAGTGAGAATTAAAGCATGCATATGCAGGAGAGAGTATAGTGGCATATGTGGCTGACATTTGCCCACTTGCTTTATGATTCCTTTATTGTCTAAACTCATTTAAAACAAGATAAAAGCCCTTCTCTCCCAGAATATTGAGTGCCTCCTGGCAGCCATTATTTGAAATGTCATTAACCCTCAGCCACCAAAACCAATGCTGATATTTTGTTTCCTCTTTTTTTTTTTTAGGCTGGTTTATGATAGGGAAACTGGGAAGCCAAAAGGCTATGGGTTCTGTGAGTACAGGGATCAAGAAACAGCCCTTAGTGCCATGCGAAATCTTAATGGCTTTGAGATTGGAGGAAGAACTCTCAGAGTTGACAATGCTTGCACTGAAAAATCTCGCCTGGAACTTCAAAGTGAGTAGAGAGTTTCAGAAAATTTTGTTTCATCATGGATGTGATCTCCATTTACCCTCTTTTTTGTTTCCTTTACTTCAAGATGTGTCTCAGGGTCCAACTGGAACGCCACAGTTTGGTGATGAAGTTGAACCAGAGAAAGCTCCTGAAGCTATTAGCAAGGCAGTTGCTTCACTTCCCCCTGAACAGATGTTTGAACTCATGCGACAAATGAAAATTTGTATTCAGGTAGGCTTTATTAACTACCTTAGGGTTATGCTTTGCCTAACTGACTCAAAGATTCAAAGACATATTCAACTGGTTTTGTCTTACTGAAACTTTCAAAGAAGTAACAGTGATTCCTGCATAACCTCAATTTTGATATTTGGATATCATGTAGACTCGTATCAATCCTGTTTCCCTTTACTTGATGCTTGTAATGGGGAAAAGGAAATGATTTGATTCCAGTCCTCATGCTAATGGGCATGCTACCATGCCCCAATAAAAAAATAAAAAGGAAAACAGCAGGAAAAAGGTTAAAAAGTTTGACATTGAGACATATTAGTGGGCCTGGAAGGAGACAAAATCTATTGTGGTTTACCCTCATTGAGGTTTGGATATTTATTCTTCTTATGTTGTTTATAGTTCATACAACAGTATTTCATCCATCACTATCATGCTTGTGAAGGGGGTCTACACAAATCTGTACTACAAATGTGTACTATAAATGCTTTGGCCAGTAATATTATCAGTCTAGAAAGGTGTGTGTTTCTGTTCCTTATGATTTATCACCATCTTGTGTTCATTTATTATCTCATTTTGGACAGAATAACCCTGCTGAGGCAAGGACTATGCTCATGCAGAATCCCCAATTGGCATATGCTTTGCTACAGGCACAAGTTGTGATGCGTATTGTGGATCCTGAAGTTGCTGTGGTAAGTCCAGTGATCCTATCATATTAACTTGTCATTCTTTTGAAATTACACATTCCTTGGAAATATATATATATATATATATATATCCGCTTCCAAAACGCACTCCATCTCCATGACGACTGCGACACGAGTGATGTGAAGATGGCAGATCAAGGACAAAGAGAAGCACGATGGAAGGAGAAACTGCTTCACGGCCAGCATCCCAAGATCATGGATAAACCATCGATCGACTCAGACGTCAGCTATAACTGGCTGAAGAAGGGACTGCTGAATGCCGAGCCATTCAGGACCAGTGCATTAGAACTCGTAACTACGAGAAACACATCCTGAAGCTGGATGTGGAAAACTGCTGCAGATGCTGTCATGGACCACCCAAAACGGTTCACCACCTCCTCAGTGCCTGCCCCGAACTAGCCCCGAGGCCTTACTTGTATAGGCACGACCAGGTGTGCAAATGTGTGCACTGGTGTGCCTCCAAGCAATCCGGCCTGGAAGTCCCAGAGATGTGGTACGAAAACCCGCCAGAGTCTGTTGTGGAGAACGCCTCCACCAAGGTACTATGGGACATGCATATAATTACAGACAGAAGTATATGCTCTCGATGGAGGCGTAGTTTCACATCGTCCATGTAGAGAAGGTGGTTCATGCGATGGTCTGTATTCTTCCCCTTTCTTACGTAATAGCCGCATTCAGTCCGAAACAATTTGGTACTGAGTGGAATGAAAGCCAGACAGAAGAGAGGAGACGAGACAGCGTGCCTCTCTGGAAGATCCTGCAGTTGATGAAAATCTCGCGGGTTGTCAGGGTGGAGTCTTCTCCATTTAGGGACATGACCTTCTTCCAGCAGGGCATGGTCTTTTGTAGGAAGTTGACCACCACAGGGTTGATCTTGCACATCCTGAGGCACTCAACCATGAATGGGGCACCGAGTCATATGCTTTCTGGTAATCGATCCATGCCATCGAGAGGTTCCTCTTCCTATTTCTGGTATTTTCCAAGATCATACTGTTGAGTAGTGGCTGTTCATTGCAGCCGTACGATCCTCTCCGGCAACCTTTTAGCTCCTCTGACAGGATGCTGTTGACCGCGACGTGTCGTTTGCTTCGTGCTGCTAGGATGGAAGACAGCACTTTGCACACGGTTGGCAGGCAGGTGATAGGCCTGTAATTCCGATGTAGCTCGGTTTCAGCGATTTTCGGCAGTAGGTAGGTGACTCTACGGTTAGCCAGTCTGGCACGTCCGAGGGGTTCGTCACTACTTTCTACACTTCTCTGGCGAGTTGTTCATGTAGCGATGTCAACTGCTTCAGCCAGAAGTTCGGAAGACGGTCGTGCCCGGGGCTCTTCCAGTTCGCTGTTTGTTTCAGCGCCTTCTTCAGATCAGGATTTGTAATCTGGGAGTCACTCATTTCGGGAATGTCTGCTAACTCCCTCTGACGTCGGAGCCATATGGCATCGACGTCGTGGCTCACCAGGCACTCCATGATCATTGACCAGAACTCTTCTAGTTCCGCCTTGCCATGGATCTTCTTCACTTCTAAGGGCTTTGTTCCCAATTCCCGGAAGAATTTTTCCCCCAGTTTTTGGTTGTTCGTGAAGCGCTCGTTATGCCGGAAGTAATTGACCCTTTTCGTGTACCACCTTATCCTCAGGGTCCATGCTTGGATCTTCATCTTCACGTTCTCTATGGCGGTCGGGAGATCGGCATGAGAGGTGATCTATTACTTGGGGCGCATCCGCTTGTAAGTCAGTTTCACTTTCCACATGTTTCACTTTCTTGATCTCTTGAACAGTACTAAGGTCTCGCCTTGCTGCATCAATCCGACTTTGGAGGCGCTTCTCCCAAGGTAGAATCGAGGAAGGGCATTTCCCGGATATCGGGTTTGGCTTTTCTGGTCCTTGCCATTTCTGATGAATTGTATTAGCAGCTGCAAAGGCACGGTGGTTCAGCTCAGTCAAATCGCAGTCTGCAAGGTCGCAGGAGCTGATGATCTAGTTGATCTCCTGGATGTCTTTGGAGATGGCACCGTTGAGCTTTGGACATTGTATGGGCATTGAAGGTAAGTAATGAAATGTGAGCGATATCGAGGCAAAAATCCCTACTCCTTTGGGTTTCATGTTTTCTTTTTCGTCTTCGAAGCATAACTCCTGAAATGTTATGTGATTAATCAATAAAAGCGAGAGGGGAGTCTCAGGATTGCAGGTACACATTTTTAGCATTATTCGCGATCTTCATATGGGTTCCCAAGGAATATTCATTCAAAGCGGAACGTTTCTGGTAGGACTACTGCCGCCAACCTCATTTAACCGGGATCTCATGCCTCCTAGGGTGTTTGTGGGGAAAATCACAAATTTCGGAAATGTTAGGAGAAATGTTGCAACGTCAGAAACAATGATTTCCTCCAATATCTTCTAGGGGAAATCACAATCTAGCCTTGTAGTCGGGTCATAGGTCAGGATCCTGTCGACATTTTCCCTTGAAAATGTTGACATTGGTCACATTTTCTTCCTCATAGTTTCTAAATAATGCTGGAAAGTTAATGACTTTGCTCTGACGGTTTCGGAAAGCGAAATGCATTTTGGGTAACTTTCATGTCGTTGCACCTTGTCCCTAGTTCTGTCATTTCTGGTTTATCGTAAAAAGACACTACGTTGTACCAGAATGTTATCATGACGTCGATGTCAAGAATGTAAACCTTTTAATATTGATAACAAAATTGTAATAACAGAAGTGTTGCAGCAACATGATTGGGGTTAAAAAAAAAGGAAACATCGTTTAAGCCATATTTTGTCAATGCTGTTCATCAGCTTCCAAAATAGAGCAACCTCAGCAAAATTTTGAAAAAAAATGTTCAACAATGTGTTACTTGGGTCGCTACTAAGTGATTACCGAAGGCCTGAAAGAAATGTATTTTATGTTATCCCAATACCCATAAGCAGGTCCATGGTCCACATGCGGCCCGCAGATTGTACACCCCTGTTCTAGACTATTAGGCCCGTTTTCACATCGCTCCCCCAACTGTTGAGAGACCCCTAACTCAAGAAAGTAAGGGATCCCTTAGATGTTCTGTTTTCACGTTCCTTCCCTAGCTAAGGGATCCTTAAACTCAACTCTAGTAGTAGATAATAGGGGAGCTTCCAGTTTTCCCTCTAGAAGCTTGAGTGTTATGTACACTCTACCTCTGGCAACATTAATTTTTCTCATGGCATTCCGTCACTTTTGAGAGTATCTAAGGATGGAAATTCCCTTTAAAATCCATTAGTCCTTTTATTCACGTTGTCCACTTGGAGTATGTCGAGAGAAACTTGCTGCTATATAGAAGTCACGAAAAAATTGTATCTCCTACTCCAAACCTGAGAAAAAAAAACTACTCTGATTATACGAGTAGCTATTACCACGAAACTTGCACTGAGCCTAGGCCGATATGTGTCCAAGAGCTTTGTGTGATTTCATTGAAATGCTTCGGGGCGAGTCAAGGCTATTAGTCATATTTCAAAGAAGTTGGAAACCATTGCAGTGGACCGGAGCGCTTGTTTAGCTTGTTTAGCGGAGGAGACGCTTTCGTTCTGCTGTCTCCTTGCCATGCAGGTCATACCAAACATTTAGTGCATTACAATTCATTATTTGACTTGCCTTTTTCTGAATATAGTTTTGATAACGTTCCTTTAAAACGATAACAGATCAACAAATGCTAATACAGAGTTTGCAATAAGGCCCATACTTACGATATACTGTTCCTGGGAGAGTGGCGTAACAGTTAGGGGAACCCTAGGTAAGGATTTCCCTAAATATGGTATTCACGTTGGTCTGTTAGGGGGTCCTTTGCTAGGGAATCCTTTAGGAAGATGGGGAGAGGGCGCATGCTCTGGAATGCTTGGTGGCCTTCTTGTCACACACAGAAGTCAAAGGATCTCTGCTCATAAATTGTTGCTTTTTCCCCTTGAGTCTGATACTTTTTGATTGTGATATCCAGTTATAACACTTCCCATGAAATAGAGACAAAGTCAAATTAAAATGTGTCCTACCATTTTGAAAAAAATTGTAGTTGATTTCATGAGCTCTTATTGTTTCGTCTAAAATATTCCATTGCAATTATGTTCTTCCCATTACCTTGAGAACCGGCCTAGGCCAAAACGGGTACTCAACGGTAATGCAAAACAAATTATTATGTTTTAATGTAACAATTGTACTTTTACATCAATGCTGCATGGATGATCATTGATGGAACATGCATGAGAGACATGAGTGTCAATCAAATGATTATTATACTGCAAGAGCATGATCTATTCAATATATTAACCTTCCTATTCTGTTCGGGTCTATTTGACCCGAAACACTCATTCAACCCGATGTAACTTCGATGTATTTCATCGGAAAAATCTGAATTTTTTTTACTTTTCCTAACTTTTGAATATATTTACGACCTCAAAGCCGAATTCATTTCCATGAAGCATTACTAAAATATTTGTGGTACCCGCTCCTGTTATGCTCGGGTCTATTTGACCTGATTGCCGTACTAGTGCATTTTCAACACGGGTTACACCATCTTGAACCTTCTTGGAACAAGCTTTCGGAGCACTTGCTATTGAGAAATGTAGTGATTCTCAAAGTCAAGTGTTCTGCCAGTTTTGGAAAAGTGCGGATACAATCTGGTTTCGAACAAGAGCCCATCCGGGTCGCCGTGTGACTTCTTGTTGCATTACACCCTCTTGGAGCATTTCCTTCGCTCCGACATTTTGTTGCTGCGTTTGCCTTGGCATATCTCCCATGTTTTTCAGAGACGGTATGAAATACACGATGGAATCAACCCTTTTTTGTGTATGGGAATCTGAACATTACATAAGACATGGAGTAAACCTAATTAGGCGTTTTCTTGACGTGGCACATGCACAGCGCACAAAGGTTAGCGAGCACATGCTAATGTTCAAGAGGTGTTGACTTGTTCAGCAACATACAGATGTACTGCCATCCTACTCCTACTCCTACTACGCGGGCGAGTCCTGCATTACCTTGTAACATTATCAGTATATTTATTTTGGGTGCCAGTATATTATATGTTAGACACCTCGGCCTACAACGCATATGAGCTGTGGACTGCAATAAATCCGAGATGGCACCAGAACAAGCTCTTCGAAAGAAGATTGTTCCTGGTAGAAATGGGCAAGCAGCCCTTTTGCCCATTGCCAGAGACGAGAGAATATTATACACGCATGCCGTACTCTGCTACCATCGTCATTTCTGCGCGACTGCCTAGACCATGCAATGACTCGAGCTCCTATGTAGGACTGAGTGCAACATTCAGGAAAAAAAAGCCGGATTTACTTTTAGTCCCTCTGTATATGACAACAAAACAAGCATCAACTGTACGTCGTGTGGAAAAAATATTTGCAATTTGAGCACAATTAGGTTTATGTGCCTTGTAAAGTCAAAAATATATAACAATTAGTCGCAATTGGCAATTTTGGAAATCCGTTATTGTAGCAACATTGTGGAATTAAGTG